TGAATCGTTTCTCCTCTCTGTTGTCCGTCTGTCTGTATGTATGTGTGTCGTGTCTGTCACGAAATTGAGTGCTAGAGAGTCCGAAAACACAGACAAGGGCTAACGAGAAGGAGCAAGTCAAATAATCGTGGTGGTCAGGGCCGAATTTGCATATTTCGGTCAGGTTGCGCGCGCACCCTGTAGAGATGGATGCTGAAAGTGTTTGTATTTTTCAGCAATATTGGTGCATTCTGCTAGCAAAGGTGCGCACATCAGCACAATGCAAGCACAGTGACTGGAAACGTGGAAACGCGTTTATAGTTCGCGATTCTGCACGCACTATGCATGCTACTCGCGATCGCATCAATGACTAGTCCGGTGCGGTCCCCTGCTGGCTCACAGTGGAGTACTGATCGCTCGGTGCCGGCGCCAGGGCAATCAATACTCCACTGTGAGCAGAGCAGCGAACTATAAACGCGCCCCAAGATCACGTGCTCTGCATCCAGCCAGCAACGTGACGCAATTACCAAGGTAGGTAGTTTCACCGCTTCCGATGATTCTGAATATTTCGGGTCATTGACGGAATTATTGAATCTTAGCCTTTTTCACTCTCAGATGGCTTTGAAGAAGAAGCGTTCCTCCTACACGGCGAAATTCAAGGTCTCCGTGATTGACTACGCAAATGAACATGGAGTTGTCGAGGCTGCGGAACATTACGGGATTAAGGACAAACGAATGATCAGAAGATGGAAAAAGGCTGAAAATAAAATCAGAGAGATGCCATCGAAAAAGCGCGCAAACCGTGGAAAGAAAGAAGCCTGGCCCGAGCTGGAAAATGAGCTGAATACTTGGGTGCGATTGGAGAGAAGCAAAGGAGCACAAGTTTCTACTACTCGGATCATTAGAGAAGCAAGAAAGATCGCAAGAAGACTACAGTTGGATGATTTTCAAGGGACCCCTCATTGGTGCCATAGCTTTATGGAGAGGAAAAACCTATCAGTTCGCAGAGCAACATCTGTAGGACAAAACCTGCCAATCGACTGGGAGAAAAAGGTAGCGGACTACCACTTATTTTTCCAAAGGACAACAGCAGGAATCAACCTAAAAGACATCGGGAATATGGATGAGGTGCCGGTTGCTTTTGATATGCCGGCTGCTCGAACCGTCGACATTAGAGGAGCTCAAAATGTGTCAGTTGTAACCACCGGTGCTGAAAAAGCGAATTTCACGGTGGTCCTCTGTGTGCTTGCTGACGGAAGAAAGTGCAAGCCGATGGTCGTTTTCAAGCGCAAGACCCTTCCCAAAGGATCGTTCCATGAGAATGTGATCGTCAAGGCAAACGACAAAGGTTGGATGAATGAAAGCCTGATGAAGGAATGGATTCATGAGATCTGGCTCCAACGCCCTGATGCATCAACCCAACAAGGAAGCTCTGCTCTCATTCTGGATGCTGCCCCATCCCACCGAACAGAAGCAACAAAACAATGTCTACAGCAGCAGTACTCCAGAATGATCATGATTCTGGAGGACTCACAAAACTGCTTCCAGCCGTTGGATATCTCTGTAAACAAGTCATTCAAATCAAATCTGCGAAGGTGCTGGGAAGATTGGATGATTGAAGAAGAGCGGCACACCTACCCAGAGTGGAAAAAGACAGTGGCCTTCGTATGAGGAAATTTGCGGATGGATTGCGACGAGCTGGGACCAAGTGACAAGCGATTGCACTTTGAATGCGTTCAGAAGGCACGGTATGAATGCCAGCGGACCTCAGGTTGACGACAACATAGAAGATCTCTTTGCTCGACACTTTACGGACTTGTTTTTGTTGATGATGAGAATTTCGATGGTTTTGTTGATTAAAGTTTTGAATAAAGTTTTGAATAAAATCATAGTTCATGAGGCATGCCTTCAGAATCGTCAATCAGGATTTAAGAATACTTGAACAAAAAAAGCAGATCATTGCAAGGATTTTACGGCTCATGAGGCATGTCTTTTGAACTGTGAATTGGGATTAAAGAAGATCAAAACAAAAGAATATCTAACTGTGAAGATTTCTACGATTTCCAGCCGGCGCCGTGTCGCGCACAACACGGTTCCGTGGCGATATGGAACAGTGAGGCCGAAATATGCAAATTCAGCCCAGACCACCACGATTATTTGACTTGCCTTCTCGTTAGCCCTTGCTCGTGCTTTCGGACTCTCTAGCACTCAATTTCGTGACAGACAGACACACAGACAGACACAGACAGACGGACAACAGAGAGAAGAAACGATTTACAAAAAGTGAAATTATGGGCCGAAGTGTAACTGCACCATAAAAGCAGGCGTGCGATCACGGTAGTCCCCAACGGTACGCAAATACACTGCGCGAGCGGAGGTGCATTTACGCGAAATCGGCGCGGGCTTATACACCGGAAATTAGGGTAACTCAATTTATGGAATCACTTCATTTTATTTTCATACCAGGTGACTGCATATATTCTCAGGCAAGCAAATACTAGTTAGATGGCTACATCTCTCTGGACCGCATGGTGAAGATCCAAGAGGCTTCTTTTTTGAAAAGCTTCGCAAGATGATGTACCTCATGTGCGCTGTGACATTAACGGAAGGTTACTTTTTGCCCTCAAGATTGAAAGTAATTTTGGTGAATGATGCATAAGCCATGAAAGAAAACAAAATTTCTAAGAGTCCTCAAAATCACCTCCCGCGGTGGTCATGTGGGCCACGCCTGCAGTGCACCCCTGTGGAAACCTTACTGATCGGATTGACCTCTTGACCGTATTCTAACGTGTTTTCCTCTTTTAAAGTCCAGCTGGTCAGTGAAGCTCCTGCAGCGGTGCCCCGAGTTTACATTTTATTCGCTACACGATTTCAAGGAAACGTAGCATTCTTTGGCATCTTTCAATATTGGCGGACTATTCACCACAACGTTGACATTATACAGTGCGTTTCAAAAGTATGTGCACACCCTCAAAATTCACGTTTGAAAGGGAACCATGAGGTTTCGTGCTATGAAATCCTTCTCAATCGATTTCTCGTAGTCGATAACCTATCAATGGAAGCAAAGCAGATAATATCGCCTTCACTTTCGAAAAAATTTTGGATGAAATTTTTTTCTTTGTTTCAAAAGTATGTGCACACTTAACAAAAGACAAAAACATAGCTGAGATTAGAAATCAGTGGGGCCTCCAGAGTTTCTAATTAGCTCAAACATCCTGTCCGGCATAATCTGAACCACGTTTGGCATAGCTGTTTCGTCGCTGTCGGCCCAAATAGCCTCTACCGCCGCCTTCAGTTCATCCGCGGTATTATACTGCCGGTTGCTAAAGTTAACGCCTTGATCAAGG